TCTCTCTCTCTCTCTATCTCTCTCTCTCTCTCTCTCTATCTATCTCTCTCTCTCTCTCTCTCTCTCTCTCTCTATCCTCTCTCTCTCTCTCTCTCTCTCCCTCTCTCTCTCTCTCTCTCTCTCTCTCTCTCTCTCTCTCTCTCTCTCTCTCTCTCTCTCTCTCTTTTAAAACTCTTACATACATATGGGCTTGAATTTCCATAATTTGTTACATAAAGAATCCTGAACTATGTAAAATTCTAAATTTAATAAATCTCTTATTAAATCAACACAAAATATTTTGGGGAAAACTGAGAAAACAACTCAGCTCGCAGCACAGTTTGTTTGAATTGAATCAAATATTAAATAATCAATTATTATACAATATTATTATATTTGTTTACAACAGAACTGGAGGGAAATGAGCCAGAAAACGATAAGGGACGCTACACCATAAAAATAAATTTAAAGGAAAGCGTATCAAATGTAAAACAAATTGCCTCCCCTCAAATCTCCAAATTTAAAATAGTACCGCAGACATGGTTACCATGGAAATCCAAAGATTAGTAAACATATCGTTTCAGAATAGCTGGCTACTTTCGCCATCTCACAACCATATCTTAATAATTAATAAACAAAAATTCACTTTGTTCGCAAGAAACGCAACAGTAAAAACAATCATTAAACTTACATTTTTGTCCTCCACAGCAGTGGCGTACTAGGATTGGTGTCACCAGGTGCGGTTAACGTAAACTCATGGTGTCCCCCCTCCCTCCGACTTTCCCCGATGGATTTCTTCTTGTTAAAATAAGTCCACAGTGTAACAACGACAAGAACAAAAAACAAATTAATTGAAGTCCAGGAGTTAAATTTATTTAAGAACTGTAACAACTTTAAGTTATAGATATTAAATTGGTTGTTTCTATAGTACTAATAGTATAGTAGTTACTATCCTAGTGTCTCTGGTTTTTCATTTTTATTTTACTTAGTTTACATGTTTTTAATAATTGTAAAGCGCTTAGAGCTTTAAGGTAAGCGCTATATAAAAATGCCTAAATAAATAAATATT